GTTTGATCATAGTTTATTTTTACTGGAGAAGTATATAACAAATTGATGAACAGTGTTATTCTTTAATACAGATGATGTATAATACATTAAACAGTCTAATTACTTTTGGTACTGCAGCCTGAAAGTTGAAGCTTTTAACAGGACAAGAATTTCTACTCATAGTTGATACAACCATCACAGTGACATCTGCTCTCGGAGAATCTTTACCAAAATGTACAATAACAGTTAGGCCATTTTTCTCTTGAAGAGTTAGTGACGGTGTTTCTCCTGAAATAGATTAGATAATAAAAAAGTAGAAATTAAATACTAGTCTGCAATAAGTAATAGTTTTGCCAGACTAACATGTTAGCATATATTTTTCAAACTAGCTAGCTACTTCTATAATAGCAACAGCTATAAATTTTTCTAATATGATTAATAATAAATATAACATTATTTTTAGCACAAAAAAGCTCAACATTATTCAACAAAATTTTTAAACATTTGCTTTATTAATAGAGAACTAATTTTTAACAATTTAAATCTTAGAAAATAAAAGACAAGCATAGTTGGAGATTATTCTATATTAAGTCTTTTACGGGCCATAGGCAAAAATATCTTTAACAGTGATAGCACACAAGTGATAAAACAATGCATTTTAATCTCTATAAGTAAGACCACCATATTTAACTAACTGTATTTTTGTATCTAAGTGGGTAGTCTGGTCCGAGCAGAAGTTAATATTAAATACACAGGAATATACAGCTAAAAGTTTCTTATGTAGAAAAATTATAAAGTTTGGGGAGAAAACGTGTGGCTGATAAATGACTAAAAATATTTTTCACAATATGAAACAAAATGGGTTGTGAACCAGTGATCAAAATTGTAATTAATATATTAATACAAGTAACTCTCTCCATACTTCTGCTGAGACACTTAAAATATGTATCCTTCATGTCTTGAAATTAGCAGGATCAATTGAATTAACATGAAAAGTTATTATCGAACACAGTGTTGTCTTATGAGACCATAAGAATGTAATTGTTTAATCTGGTTTAATGGAAACAAAAACGTATTGTACTTTAAAACACACACTGTTAGTTTATGAAAACTTAGTCTACTCTGCTCTTGAAATTAGCAGGATCAATTGAATTAACATGAAAAGTTATTATCGAACACAGTGTTGTCTTATGAGACCATAAGAATGTAATTGTTTAATCTGGTTTAATGGAAACAAAAACGTATTGTACTTTAAAACACACACTGTTAGTTTATGAAAACTTAGTCTACTCTGCTCTTATACCACTACTTCATCATTCAATGTTAACTTCACAACAACCTTAAAATGCTTTAAACAAATCTAAGATAACGAACTGATTGTTTAATCCACTTCACAGTTGCATCATTCTTTTATGTACTGATATATGAAACTTGTTAAAGTAAAAACAAAGAATTATTTGTTTAGAAACTGAGGTCACTGTAGCTACTTTGTTTATACAGTAAACTATCTCATTAGACTGAAACATTAATTAATATCTTAGAATGATGTATAACAACAATAACCTCTAACAATACTTTATCTTCTATAAACATCATCAATACCTGGTTTTATTAACTTATATCTTGCAGTAATGTACAAGAACAATAAAATTATACCTCTAACAATACTTTATATTCTATAAACATCATCAATATCTGGTTTTATTAAC